AGAAGCTTTATAATGAGTTTTCTGAATTCTCTATCCCTCTTTTTCTCAATGTATTCCTAAGCTAACTCTGTGTTTGGCAAAAGCTTTTGCTTCTTTGTAGGAGAGTCTTCAGTACCATTCATCATTTCTCTGTTTGTTATTTTGCTCTTGGTCATTTCAATTCTGATTAGCACATTTTTCTTCTTAGGGCAGATTTCTACACTGTGTTACCCACAGATTCTATAATTCGATTTTACTTATTGTGGTTGATTTATGGTTCTTTGTTTGCAGTCACTCAGGCCACTCCTTCTGGCGAGTTTCAGATCTGGGTTTATGTTAGGCTTCCGTCATGGTTTCCATAGCCCAGCTCTGCCTCACCACTACATCCATTAATCCTATGATGGTGTTGCAACATTGTCTGTACAAATTTTCTCCATGTGCATTTTGAGAAGTTACCAGAATTAGGGAGACACTAGATGTTGTAAATAGCTAGGTTGCTGTTGGCGTTGATTTTGTTGGAATGTGCTTATCGTTAGGTTTGAGGGCTACCGAGATCTATTTGGAGTCATGAGATTCCAAAAGTGGTATTATTTCTGATATGGGATCAGTGCAATGCCCTGAGGTTATTGAGGTCACTCCCAGCTCAACACATACACAGCTCACTGCTGTCCCTGCGGTCTCAAAGCCTTGGCTACCCTGTACAAAATGATACCTGTAGTGCCACTTGTGGGATTCTCAAACTGCTGACTGAGAGTTATCAAGACCATTTTTGGGTGGAACTTGGTTGTTGATGAAGTTCTGTCTCTGCTGGTGCAGTTCAGATTCCCATTCATTGACTGCCCTTGGGTGTATGGTCTATTCATTAACATATCCTTGTCCTTGTTGCTTTCTCATGTTCAAAGGTCTCCAGTTACCCCTCTGCCATCAATCTGTCCTCTCCTATTTTCTGGAATGTTCCCTCTCTTCTTTACCTTTTCTAATGTGTCTCCATCTGTTTAAATGTGTACTTTCCCTGTTCTGCCAGCTTGATTTCCAGAAACAAATTGTGTATACACTGGTTGATTGCCTAGTGGCTGCAACAGGAAGAGCTGAACTGATCTGTTCAATGCTCATATTTTGTCAGTGAGAATGTAAAGTAGTGCAACTGCTGTGGAAAATAGCTTTTGTTTCCTCAAATGATTAAGCCTAGAGATACCATGTAATCCACTGATGCTATACTTGCTGATATTCTGAAGAGAACTGAAAGGTGTAACTGTAAAATGCATTTTCAGATTCACCTCAGCCAGTCCTGCAAGAGTCCAAAGTGATGACACCTCCAATGTTCTTAAATAAATGAGTTGGTAAAGAAATCATATATGCATACCATGTAACACCATGCAGCAATCTGTATGATTCATATGCATGATTCTTGACATATGATGCTAATTTTAAGAAATCAAACATGTTAGTCCACATGTTGTTTCATCTTGTTCATGTGGACTGTCCAGAATGGGCTGACTTATCTGAACAGAGCACACAGTGTTGGTTTCCAGGAGCTGAGAGAAGAAAGAATGTGAAGGAAAGCATTCGTTGGAAGAGGATTTTCTCTTGGAGTGATGTGCATATTTGGAATGAAATTGAGGTGTTGATTGTCCAACAGTGTGAGGATTATAAATCCCAGTGTTTGTTCATTTTATGATTAATTAAAAATCGAGATGTTTTTATTTGAAGTATGGAGTTAGGAGAGAAAGAAAAAGAAAGAAAGAGAGAGAATGAGCGAGAGTGTGAGAATGAGTTTATATGTCATTTTCATTTCCCAAATGGCCTCAGCATCCAGAACTTTTGTGTGGCTCTATCTGGGAATCTGAAACTCCATCCAGGTTTCCCACCTGGGTGCCATGGGCTCTAGCACTTGAGCTTTCTTCTTTTCCAGGTGTGTAAGTTAGCAAGGAAGAAAACATCATTTGCTTCAAAGTTGGCCTGCACCTGGCTAGGTGGACTGAAGCAAGACTAGTAAGTCATTGGACAGATTAAGTGTGGCTTTGATCACTGGAGGCAGTTAATTTGTAATCTGTGGGTGATGTGAACTGTTGCAGGGTCTGAAGTAAAGGAGGGACATTACATGATGCATGCCTTATGTGATTGTTGACTAGGAGATGGCCTTCTTAAGGCCAGGCTGGGATCAGGTAAAAGAAGTTTAAAAATCACTGCAGTATTCAGTAGGGCAAATATCACAATGTTGCTGTCTTCCACACAACCTGTGATGTTTACATTCCTGTTTAATCAAATTCTTCCATGCGGTCTCTGACTAATTGAAAACCTCATTTTTCTGACTGCAAAATATCAGAAAAGTTACAGCATTGAACTTTCTGCTGATTTCAAAGCATTAGTGGATTTGTAAGTTAGTACTGAGTTAAAGGTGCATGTGTGTTGTTTCTGTGGTTACGACCAGGTCCAGAGCATTTTTATAATCACAGTGAAAGTTTCCTGGGAGATGTCCAACAACTTATTGCCTTATACAAGTCTGATGCACTGAACTCCAGTAGGTATGACACTGATTCATTTTGTGGCCACCAGATAGTACTTCATTTTATGGCTTCTTTTTTCCTTTTTCCATATTGTATTGATATTTATTTCAGGACATGCCTTGTCAAAATAAAACAAAAAAGTTATGCCTTGCATTTAACAATGATATTGTATTATAAAAGCATTTTACAACTCCATCCTGTCTTTGAATGTGAGTTTTGGGTAGGTGGGCTAATGATATGTAATTGTAATAATACATCTCTATCCAGATCCATAGTCGGAGTGCTCTCTGTATAGTACAAGTTTACAATAAGTGAGGAGTAGAAGAGGAGGAAAACAGGGAAATAAGGCTTTCCTGTTAAGGGTTTTGTTGCAATGAAGAGATAAGAAATTATGAAGATATTTTTGTCATCTTTTTATCTTTATACTGGGATTAAGTAATGCATACAATTATAATCAGCAAGATTTTTGGAGTTATTACTCAGAAAGTTTCTTCCTGCAAACAATGTATTGACAAATGAGTTTATTAGCTTACACAGCAATCTCATAATAACTAGTAAATATTAAATGTGTGCACTCCTAGTACATTTGTTTGTAGTACTTTAAGGGAAATACATATTGCCTTGGTGATAAAGCTCTAAGAAACTCCAACAGAATATCTAAATATTGAAGGTTTTAAAGGAAAAGGCAAAGAAACAAATATTACCAAATTAAGAATTAATTTTAGCTTAAATATAAGACTAATCACTGGTTAATTACCTGAACAATACAGATCTAATAAACAGCAAAACCAGACTGAAAGATTCAACATTTAAAAGATGCTAAAAAATAAGGCATGCATTTGCATAATATTAAGCTTCATTCGAATACTCTCTTTTCCCTCTTCGATGTATACTTTTTCTAAACTGCTTCTAAATGCTTCTCAAAGAAAATCTGTTTCCATCTTTAATTTTACCTCAATTGTCTTAAGCAAATTCTCTGTGATTCTGTTCTTTTGTTGATATCATTATTTCTTCTTGAATAATGATTTTGGTCACTGTGCCATATTTAAATTCTTCCACTAGTCCTTCCACTAGGAAACTTATTTATATAGTGCCTTGCCTTCACATAATTCAGAAATAAAAAAAAAAGACATGCATTCAAACTCTATAGTTCAAAAAGGTTGTCTTTTCTTCTCAAACAGAATAATGTCATGCTGAGAGTTTTAAAATCTTGAGAGAAATGGATTCTTAACATTTTTTTCATTTTCTCAGCAAGGATGGTGGGGAACAGAGGTGGGAGAGAAAAACAAGTAAGAATTTTATGATTTACTGTTTAAAATTGAATATTAAAAATTCTGTTCTGGGCCCAGCACGGTGGCGCAAGTGGTTAAGGTCCTCGCCTTGCACGCCCGGGATCGCATATGGCCGCTGGTTCTATTCCCGGCAGCCCCGCTTCCCTTCCAGCTCCCTGCCTATGGCCCGGGAAGGCAGTTGAGGATGGCCCAAGGCTTTGGGACCCTGCACCTGTGTGGGAGACCCGGAAGAGTCTCCTGGCTTCGGATTGGCATAGCATCGGCCATTGCGCTCACTTGGGGAGTGAATCATCGGACGGAAGATCTTCCTCTCTGTCTCTCCTCTCTGTATATCTGCCTTCAAATAAAAAAAATAATAAAAATAAATCTTTAAAAAATCTGTTCTGAAGCACTGTGTTCCTTTTTTCTCCAAAAATGTAAGAAAACACGTATGAAAGGATTCTTTGATTTCTGTTGGAAATCTATCTTTGGCATGGAGAGCTCAAGGAGGTCAGCCAAGTGCTGCTGTGAGCTTATTGTTTCTTCTTCTTCTTCTTCTTCTTCTTTAAGATTTATTGATTTGTATTGTAAAGGCAAATGCACAGAGTGGAGGAGAGACATAGAGGAGGATCTCTGACCTATGATTCACTCCCCAAGTGACCACAATGGACGGTTTTGTGCCAATCTGAAGCCAAGAGCCAGGAACTTCTTTCCAGGTCTCCCAGGCGGGTGCAGAGTCCCAATGCTTTGGGCCATCCTCAACTGCTTTCCCAGGCCAAAGGCTGGGAGCAGGATAGGAAGTGGAGCGGCCAGAATTAGAACTGGCACAAATATGGAATCCTGACATGTTCAAGGCAAGGACCTTAACCTCTGTGCTATCAGGCTGAGCCCAAGCTCACTGAGCCCAAGCCACACTGATACTATTGCTGAAATTTTCATCATTTTGTAGTACATTATTATAACATTAAAAGAGGAAAAATGTTTTAAAAGTGTATCTAACTTTTAAAGTTATCACTGGAATGCGCTGAATCTTTTGGTTAGGTGTAAAGTCCAAATAATGAAGACAGTGACTTTTTTGTTATTGTGATGCTAACAGATCATCTCCATGGCACAGGCAGCAATGATGGGTTGTTATAAGTTATTCCTGAACAGGAAAGTGTCAAGCCAATATTCACACTGCAGTCAATGAGAGTAAGTGGGCAAAGCAGTGGGCTTCTGGAGCAGTGTGAAGGAGTGGCCGGTATTAGCAGGAACAGCATTTGCCAACTGGTTGGTCCTGAGGCTTTTCCAGTTTTATATCAATCATGTCTTCTCTGCTTCTGTCCTGTGTGCTTTCCATTCCAGGCAAAGCTGCTGCCACACGTCAGAAGAGCTGCTTCACGTTTATCCTGCTTTTTCACTAGTTTCAATAAACATGACATTCAGCTCTTGGGCTTTCCTCAATCCCTCCTCAGTAGACACTTGTCTTTCGTCAACAAGATCTCTTTTATTTCCTAATAGCATGATGATAACACCACTTATTCCTTCTGTTCTGACCTCACCAATCCATTTGTAGTGTGCTGGAAGCAACTGACATTTGCAACACTGTAATCTATTTTGGCTGCAGCAGAACTGTGGATGCAACTGAGAATGAGGCCACAGAAACATTTCTGACCCGCATTATATCACACTGTAGTCTGATTGCTCAATCCTCCAAACACATTGTTTTTGACTACAAAATCAATGCCAGTTATTGCCTGATAGGTGTTGTCAAAACTATCATAGAGGAATCTGGTGATCAAGAATGTCTTTCTAATGCTCTACTCTGAGGGATTAGAACACTCAATGGATTTCCAAAATTTTCTTCTGTGTACATAATGGAGCCTGAGGAGCTGCTGAAGCCTCAGCCCAGAAGATCTGCCACACCAATGCCTACTACCACTGGCTGACAGAGAAGAAAAAACATGAGAAAAAATTTAAAATGTTAATAATGTGTGGTTCAGCACAATACCATGGGCATGACTCCTTGGAGGTCAAGGCTGGAGGGTAGCAGCCTCCAATGCTTTCCTTTACAGCAGCCTAACAATGAGTGAGGCCCACAACTTGGGGGCTGAGTTGATAGGAGGTTTCAAAACAATCAGGGCTGTGCTCATGACTCCTGAGGCAAGTGCCTTTACCTGCTTCAGCATCCAGCATGGACCGAGGCTACGAGAGGCTGAAAGTGGTGAAGTGGCATCCTCAGACACATCTGGGATCTCTTGCACCTAGCTTCCCAGCTCCCACAGCTGCCACTAATGCTGACATCACTGCAGTCCAACCTTCCAAGTGCACAAGTCTCTGGCACCAAGCGGGGCAGGCCAGGTACTTGCTTACCATCACTCTGGCCTACATAATGCATGTGTCACTATGGCTTCTTATTTTAACTGCTTGGGGAAGTCTCTCTTCCATCCGTTTGATTCCACAATGACCAAGTGGGTATCAGCAGTCTCATTACTAATTATCTCCAAGGGCTGCATTGAGATAGATTCAATGAGGATTGATTAAGAAAGGTGTGAGACACATGGTGAGCCATGCAGTGCTGTGGAGAGGCATAGGAGTTTTCTATCAGGAGATACGTTGCTGGAGGCACTAAATCATGAGCAGTCACCTGTTCATTCTTCTTTTCTAAATAGCTTCACAGCAGTGCAAGGAGGGTAGAAAGGAAACAGTATGACTTTTCCCAGCCTTTGGAGGCAGGTTTCAATATCAGATTAATGAACAAGAGTTCACATCCATCTTAAAACGCCTACCGACTAGGAAATTGGATGGTATGTTCTTCTATCACTTTTGTCCCAAAGAAGTTCTGCGATGTATATTTAAACATCTGAGTGTTTTCTATGCTACCTAAGCTGACATCAGCTACAACCTTGATGACAATGTGGCTGAGGTCTATGTGGACATGTGGCCCAATCTCTTGTATTTTTTTTTGAGATAAATAGTCTTTAGACACATAGTGTTTTTTGTCACACCCATTCTTGAGATAACTAATCTTCCTGTAGAGAGACAACCAAAGTGAGTGAAAACTAATCACTCTATTGTAGGACTCTGCATGCACACAACACAGCCTGAATTGATGTAGCTCAAGGCAGCCATGGTTCCATCTGGTCCACTCTTCATGAACTTTGTGGCAGCAGAATCCTGGTGGACCACCCACAATGTTCAGTCATGGGGCCTGAGGCTCTGATAGCTCCTCTTGCTGTGGTAATAATCCAGGAAGATGCAATGTTCTCCACTGAGGGTCACAGAGAAAGGGCATACAGGGTCCAGCAGTATTACCTGACTCAACTAACTTGTTGAGTCACACCATGATAGAAGCTAGGGACATAACAGAGACTAAGACCAGGCCATGCCCTTGAGATACTTGTTATGTAAAGAAAGCACAGTTAGAACTGACAATGATACTAAAGGGCAGGGAAGACAATGACCCAAATGTGTGTGTGGAACTGCCGATACTTGGAAGAGAGTGCTTTGTGTGCTCGAGAAGTTTAATGAAGAGTGATACTACTTGGAGTATTTTTATGTATTTGCTGTTTGAAGGAAAAATAGCCTTCTAGGAGCAGGGTGTCATTCCAGTCGAGTTACATGTCTTGGTGTGAGTTGATTGTGTGGATTTCAGATTATTTGAATGTGGACAGATGTCGAGAAGAAGGTAGGTGGGGAGAGTTGCTGTCATAGCTAATTGAGGTTTTTCTTTTTCTTTTTAGAATTGATTTGGACTTCAACATGGACTTGTCCGAGATGACTGAGGCATGTCTAAGATTCTTTGGCAAATGTCAGATTGGAAAGAGTCCCAGATTGGGGCCAGGGCATAAGTAAATACTCAACTCATTGCAGTTCCAGTTACACCTCATTCCCCAGCACATAAATATTCCAGTCACCTTGACTGGATCATAGCTTACAGGGTCAGGCACTTCATAGCCCAGCAAAGAGCAGTACACACAGCTGCAGGGAACACTTAGAGGAGAGAGCTGCAGCAGAGTGTGACAATGGACCCGATGCCAGACTTTTCATTAGAAACCTGGGTTCTCATGGCTACCAGCCTGGTGCTCCTGTATCTGTGAGTAGCTGTCCATCTGATTTCTCCTGTAGTCTTGCATCTGGAATGGTAATGAGGCTTGTCTTTCATTCATCTTTTCTGATCATTAGAGGGGAAGTTGTCCAAGTGCTGGGTGATACCAATGGAAAGGTAATTGCAGATTTCAGTGAAACTACTGACCTATCTCACCCCTCCCGGTTCCCAATCTCTTCCTGTATGAAGTGTTAATAGCAACTCTTTCATAGAAGATATGCTGGTTGATTCTCAGTTTGACATATACTGTGTAGTTAGAATCCAGTTGAGATAGGTTATAAACACATGGATTCCAAGTACAGTAGGATACTCACCAAAGGCCTACACTCCAGAGATTCTGAGGGCAGAAGAGGTTGACTTGCACTGATCTGCAGTGGCTTTACCTTCTGAGTCTGCATCTGCACTGCAGGAGTGAGGGAAATCATTCTCTGTACATGTGGTTGGCTCTTCACTCTTTCCTTTCCATTATCCATGCTTCACTGACACAGATCAGCCCATTGCCCCAGACATCTGCAGAGGCTCAGATTCAGTTCTTCTGTCCCTCTGTGCTTCCTGCCCTGGAACTCCCCTACTGCCATCTCTCTTCTGTGAATTGAGTGCTCAGCCTTGCACTAGGTGAAATGGTGATTTTCAGAGAAGGACAGATCTGGCAGCCATCTGCAACCATCTTTCCCTTATTCTTCACAGTTTCTGTGAATTTAACAAATCAGTAGTAGTATAGAGATTTATTTTCCCTATAATTTTCCTCTTCAAGTAGTCTCAAGAAACCAGAGCACCACCAAATCCACGTTATGTTTTCCTTTTAATATTGTTCATCATTGAGAGGGATCCGGGTACATATGGTTTTGATTAGGGCGAGATTTTGAGGCATGGAAGGATGTGTGTGTGTGTGTGTGTGTGTGTGTGTGTGTGTGTGTGTGTGACATATACTTCAGTTCTGTTTGTTTATTTTTTTTCCTGAGTCTGCAGTGGAGTGGGCAGCAGATGCTATTCCTTGATGGCAGACTACCTCAGATCCCCTGGATGGGGATCAGTGCCTTACAGACCCACAATTGTGGAAGAATGACTCAAGGGAGTTATTTCAGTAGTTTTGATACTTCTGAGAAATTTTTTATTTCATTACTCAAGTATTGAAAAAAATCTTTCCAAGGTCTGTTGGTTGACAAAGTCCACTTATTGCATTCACAGACCTAAGAATATGCATTTCATCCTCTGGTGAGTCAGTTGATTTCCCCTGCTGGCCTAGATGAACTTGCTGTCATGACCCTGGTGTGCATCTGGACATGCTTTCCTCCACAGAGGCATCAGTAACTGAGGTAGCACAGTCCAAAACATGTGCTTCAAAGTTGAACCACACATCCTGTAATTTTTCTTGAAGCCAATGTCTGAATCAGGCAGTTTCTTGGGAGTCCCCTAAGAAAGCCCATTTTGATTACCTCATTCTTGACTCTTGTGTTTTATTTTCCAGTGCAGGTGTGCTATGTCACATGCAGTAGCCAACACACCTACCACACTGTTTGGTCAGTTTCAGTTTTACCCTATCCCTTGTGTGAGTTGATGGTGCTGTGATCCAGCCCTACCTTCTGCAAACCAGTGGGTTATGCAGACTAAGTGAGGCAACTTCCAAGATCCCCCCAAGGACTGCCCACAGCCCTGGTTTTTGCCATATTTTGCTGCAGGCTAGCTCTAATAAGTACACATCCTATCTGACTCTCATGGAGACATATGGGTGCTGTGGTATAGGTCAGAATGCCCCACCTTCACACATAGATATGGTTCTTGTGCACAAAGGTGAAAGATACAGCCCAACACGGGAGTGTTCATAGTTCCCAAACCAAGGATGTCCACAGCACTGAATCCTGTGTATTCCCTGGTGTACTGCCGTGCAGCCTAATATGATTCACAACTAATGCTGGCACCTGTCAGCTGATGCAGCAGTCCAGCTCAGCCTGGCTCATTCCCAGATGAACCCACACACAGTGTCATCTCTTATTCTGATATCTGAGCATGTGTCTCTTTTATGTAAAATATCACCCTTGTGACCTGCCTCCTCCTTGACTTCACAGCTATGGCACCTCTACACATGGCCATTTTAAGAAGCTGGGCATTCCTGGGCCAACACCTCTGCCTTTCCTGGGAAATATCATGGGCTACCGCAAGGTGAGTGTCATTTGAACTGTTGCCTTTTGCCAGAGTCCAGCTCCAGCTGAGTTCAGGACTTGGGAAGGGTGCATGGAGTCGACGATAAAGAAAGACACAGACACTGTCACTTGGTGTGTTCTCACAACAGCTCAAGAAAAAGCTATCCCTCTTAATTACTCAGACACCTCACAGGCTTCCACACAAACAATTAATTATTCTATTTTTTTATTTCCAGACTAGGCAGCATGTACAGACATTTGGTCATTCTGTCTGTACTTCAGGGCTTAGCAGGTGCCCCTAAAGATAATTCTGCAAAATACTGTATTCATATTCTTCAAAGCAAGCCATTATTCATTCTTCAGCAGTAGCCATGGAGCAACAGCCAGAACTCCAAGGCCAAGGCACATGCGATTACCTGATAATCAGCAGTACATTCCTACCATATTTCTATTTCTACAGTTTATGCATTATTTAATGGGAAAATAGGTTACAAGGAAAAAATATAATATCTAAAACAAAATTTTCAAATGTTAAATCCTCCTACAACTATAGACTCTATAACCCCATAAACAATAAAACAAAAATCAAAAGCAATTTCTTTAATAAAAGCATCCTTAATTTTATAGCTAAAAAGTATAAAAGTGGCTAAAACAGTTACATTTTCTATGCTCCAAAAATCGCAGAGACAGGCTAACCTTTGAGATGACAATTACTATATTTATTGCCATAGCAGTTTCACCTCACACTCTCCTCACTTCCATTACTTTGTG